ATATAATTATTTTGAATTCCTTATCAGAAAGTTCCAATACTGTGTCTTCCTTAGGGATGTGTTTTGGTCTGTACCCTGGTCCCTTGTTTCTCCTGCTTTATCTTGCTTCTTTTTGTGGACTGTGATGCTCTGTTGTCTCTGAGGCATTGTGATATTTTGGGGTTTATATTAAATTGGTGATTGTATGTTGGAGTGACCTGCCCATCATTTTCATTTTCTTTGTTTTGTTTGTATGTTATCTGCATAAGCAGGGTACTGTGCTCTGCTCCTCTGTTTGCTAGTTGACAGCACTTATACACTTATCACTTGTCTCCTTTCCTGTTGTCAGCCTCCAGTATGTCCCTGCTGTCTTTGGCAACAGAGCCTATTCTGAAGTCCCTGGAATCTGAATGAGAATGCTGTCACTTGAAAATAAAAAATGGCCACCATTTGTAAGATTCAAAATGGCTGCATCCTTGGTCACTTTAAATATCCAAAATGGCCACCACTTTTATACATTCAAAATGGCTGCACCCTCAGTCACTTTATATATCCAAAATGGCTGGCACTTGTAAACAATCAAACTGGCTGCACTCTCCAGATACTGAAAGTCCACAGCTCAGATTGTCTCCTTTCTGGCTGTTTCCCTTCTTAGTGATAGGCCACCAGTGCAGTCATCCCTGAAGCCCTCAGCGACCTGGGCTGCTCTTTAAGTCAATTCTCAGGTCCCAATACCATTTAGAAATATTCAGGCTGTTGGTCCCATCAGAGTAGCTGACAGTCCACTGGTCCAACCATCTCTGTACTCACCATTTTCATTCAGGTTTTTCCACTAGTTCGTGCCTAATCCACTTCTGTATTCTTCCTTTCAAAGCTCAGGGCTCCAGGATTATCTTCTGTATCTCTATCAATTGGTTTCTCTTTCTTTGTTCAAGAGGGTCTGTGAAGCTTGTCTGCCTATTCCACCATCTTACCAGAAGTCTGTGTTCCCCTTTTTTGCTGACATTCCACTTTAGCAAGCATGATATCCTTCTCCAGGGAATGGTCCTTTCTAACAAACATGACCAAAGTAGGTAAGACATTATGCTTCTAAGGAGCATTCTAGCTACATCTTTTCCAGGACAGATTTGTTCATTCTTCTGGCAGTCCATGGTATTTTCAGTGTTCTTTGCCAACACCATAATTCAAAGGCATCAACTCTTCTTTGGTCTTTCATATTCATTGTCCAGCTTTCATATGTACATGAGGAGATTGAAAATACCATGGTTTGGGTTAGGTGCACCTTAGTCTTCAAAGTGCTATCTTTGCGCCTTAACACTTTAAAGAGGTCTTTTGCAGAAGATTTGCCCAGTGCAATACAATGTCTGATTTCTTGACTGCTTCTTCCATGGGTGTGGCTTGTGGATCCTGGTAAAATGAAATTCCTGACAACTTCAATCTTTTCTCCATTTCTCATGTTGCTACTTATTGGCCCTATGTACAACAAAACAAATCACTGCCTGGTCCTATGTCAGCCTCACAATCTTTGTTAAGTTTGAGCCCATTTCTTTTGCAACCACTTTGTCGGTCCATCTCATTGTTGGTCTTCCTCTTTTTTGCTGACCCTCTACCAAGCATAATGTCTTCTCCTGGGACTTGTTCCACCTAATACCATGTCCAACATACATAAGACCAACTCTCACCATCCTCACTTGTAAGGAGGATGTGGGCTGCACTTCTTCCAAGACAGAATTGTTCATTTTCCGGCAGTCCATGGTATATTCAATATCTTGACCATATCATAATTCAAATGCATCAATTCTTCTTCAGTCTTTCTTATCTATTGTTCAGCTTTCATAGGCATATGAGGCAATTGAAAATACCATGATTTTGGTCAGGTGCTCCTTAATCCTCAGGATGACATTTTTAGCTTTTTAACACTTTAAAGAGGTCGTTTGCAGCACGTATGCCCAATGTGATACACCATTTGATTTCTTGACTGCTCCTTCCATGGGCATTGATTGTGGATTCAAGTAATATGAAGAAATTCTTGACAACTTCAATCTTTCTCTCTTTATCATAATGTTGCTTACTGATCCAGTTGTATTTTTTTTCTTTATATCTAAGTGAAATCCATACTGAAGACTGTAGTCATTGATCTTTATCAGTAATTTCTTCAAATCCTATTCACTTTCAGCAAGTAAAGTTGTGTCATCTGTATATCACAGGTTGTTAATGTACCTTCTTCCAAACCTGATGCCTCATTCTTCTTCATATCCTCTAGCTTCTTAAATTATTTTCTCAGCATACAGATTGAACAAGTGTGGTGAAATGATGCAACTCTGAAGCACTCCTTTCTCAATTTTAAACCACACAGTATTCCCTTTTTCTGTTTGAATGACTGCCTCGTGATCCATGTACAGGTTCCCCAAGAGCACAATGAAGTTTTCTGCAATTCCAATTCTTTGTAATGTTATTCATAATTTGTCATGATACACATAGTCAAATACCTTTTCGCAGTCAATAAATCACAAGTAAACATCTTTCTCATTTTATCTGCTTTCCAAGATCTATCTGACATGAACAGTGATATTCCTCAGTTCTTGTCCTCTTCAAAATCAGGCTTTAATTTCTGGCAGTTCCCTGTCAATGTACTACAGCAGCCATTTTTTAATTTTCATCAGAAAAATGTTTTTGTATGTGTTATTAATAATATTGTTAAATAATTCCTACATTCTGTTGGATCACCTTTCTTTGGAATGGGCACAAATATGGATATCTTTGAGTCAGTTGGCCAAGTAGCGATCTTCCAAATTTCTTAGCATAGATGAGTGAGTGCTTCCAGTGCTGTATCTATTTGTTGAAACATCTCATTTGATATTCTGTAAATTCCTGAATCATTGTTTCTCACCAATGACTAGTGCAGCTTGGATTTCTTCCTTCAGTACAATCAGTTCTCAATCAGATGTTACCTCCTGAAATGTTTGCACAGTGGCTTTTTTTTTTTTTTTTTTTT